GGCTGGTCAAGTTGACTTCCGTCTCATAGGCGTTCCCCCGCCCCCCCCATTTTTTACATTTTCTTTTAAGATTGTTAGATGCCCAAAGTCACTCTGTGAGTGAGATGGGCAGTATCTAAATTTAATAAATAAAGTCATTAAGTTGAGACAGAAATATGCCACACACACAAAGTAAAGGGATTGGCTACAATATATTGTAAATATGATAATTTTCCAACTGAAAAATTTACTGTGTAACTGTGGCATACACAGCATCTTATTTATGACAGAACTAAAACAGTTAGTCTTTATCCTTAGCAGAAACTATTTATTTAATTATTTCAATCTAATTGGCTACCCCAGCTCAACTTAATGACTTTATTTATTAAATTTAGATACTGCCCATCTCACTCACAGAGTGACTTTGGGCATCTAACAATGTTAAAAGAAAATGTAAAAAATGGGGGGGGCGGGGGAACACCTATCAGTCAGAAGTCAACATAACCAAGGTACAGGCTTAACCATCCCTCTTTGACTTCCCAATTCGATGACAAATTCTTGTTTGTATGAAAGGCTGACTGTCCTGACACTTGTAACAGAACAAGAAGATGCTGTATATTTTGTTAATATATACAAATGCATTAAAAGTTCATACCTTGTCTAGTGAATTGTTCTTTTCGCCATGTTTTTCTGGGAGACTGTTTCCTGAGTCTGTACTTATAAGAGAACCTCTCGAATCTGCATTCCTCACATAATTAACATTAGGAGTGGAACAAGTATATGGGGGTGCTGAATAATGAAATGTACACAAAAGGGATGTGTTACAGTCTCAACTGATAAAGAAAAGTATTGTAGAGAAACAGAAATTCCAAAAATAATTTTTTTCATAGTGATATATTTTTTTAGCATTTCCTGGGCCCAGTCTAGCAATACTCACAAAAGATTTACTTGGCTTAACATTTTCCTCAATCATTCACCAAGTTAGGATAATCAGTTGACCTGTTCCTACTTCTATGTATGTTGAAATAGGGGTGAGGGGAGTATCAGGATTAGGTGTGTATTTAATACTAATGATAAAAATGAGTAACCCATTGATTGATGGATTATCAATGGAAGAAATAGAACCTCATAACGACACGGCTCCATTTTCAGTAATGGGAGTTATTGCTTCATTTTTACTTTTAAGACTTGAAATCAAATAGTCATATGTCCCATTTTCTCCTGCCAAATATTTGATTTCAACCTCAGCATCAAGTGAAGAAGTCAAATGTGGCCCTAGTCAAAAACTTCACAATAATATGAGAACTTAAACTGAAGTTGTCACATCCCAACTTCAGTCATTATAAATATTGATTTTGTTTCTCATAAGCATGTATGTTGCAAGTCACTAAAGCTATATTTAAAAGTTTCTGAATTCTGTATATGGTTACCAATGCCTGATATAGCACCAAACAAATCTTTCTGAAGGCTGCTGTCAAGGGCATTCATAGATTTTTGTGGAGTCATCAATGGATTTGCAGCTGGTAAATTAAGTGATTCATCTTTTGCACCCTGTTAAAAAATGCAAAACATTTTTTCATCCTTTGATATGGTTAATTTTTATATTAAAGAGATATTTGCACACTGAGATATATGATCGTTTTATTTAAAAAATATGCTTACACTGCTAGAAGCATTGATAGGGAAGGGTGAAATATCCTTGACATCAATTCGATGAACATTTTCTATCAGTAAACCAAATATTGGCAGATACAAGGTAGCTATCCTTGCTTGATGACTCTGTAAAAGAATATTTTAGTTCATTATTAAACCAAAGTAAAAGCACATTAAATGTCCATAAATTTGATCAGATGTCTTTCAGTTTTTCATTTAGTTATAACCCTCAGGGATTTGATGTTTAGCATTGAGAATCTACATTAATGCACAGTTACCAGAGAAGGATTTTAAATTAGATTCATTGATGTATTCTCGCTCTGTTTCCTTGATACCAGTAGCCAATCTGATTACCGTTTTTTCCGGAGTATAAGACGCACCCTTTTCCCTCAAAAAAAGAGGGTGAAAATCTGAGTGCCACTTATACACTGAATACAGCATTTTTGGCCTCCCTAAACCCCGCCCCCTTTACAAAAATGGCCATGCATAGCCTTTAGGAGGCTTCCAGAGTGCTCCTGGTGCTGGGCAAAAATGAATGAAAAATGAGCCATTTTTTGCTCATTTTTGGCTCCCTCAGCCCCCAGGAGCACTCTATAAGCCTCCTAAAGGCTATACGTGCCCTCTTTTTTCTGACAAAAAACAGGGCTGTTTTTGTGAAAAATGGGATTTTTTTGCTCATTTTTGCCACCCCCCCAGCCCCCAGGAGCACTCTACAAGCCCCCTAAAGGCTATGCATGCCCCTTTTTTTGATAAAAAATGGGCCTGTTTTCGTAAAAAACAGCCCATTTTTGGGAGATCTGCAGAGTACAAAAACTTTTTAAAAAAAATTTGCCTCATCAAAATCTTTGTGCGTCTTATACTCCAAAAATATGGTAACTGCTTTGATACTGTGAGATTCAAGTAATTTGGAGTGCTGAAGTGATAGTATTTTCCAGATGCAGGAAAGAGAGTTGCTAATTATTCAATGTCCTGAGGAAAAGCGGTACAAGAATCCTATCCAAATTTAATTTAAAAAGTTTTTG